AACAGGTAATACTGATCTTAAGGACTTTACTGCAATTGTCTGCGCAACATAGGCGACGTTGAACCATTGGAACGCTAGTCGTCCTTTTATTGTTTACAGCAAGGCCTCTCAAAGTGCTCAGCTTGATGAGTGTACTTTGCGAAAGAGGTGACGCACGAATAGGTCAGAACAAGCACACTAAGCGTTGCCCACCGTGACCCGGTAGCCAAACGGGTAGAGGTTTCGTTAATTTTTCCAGTGGTCGCGGGATCGAGGCCTGCTGTCTCCTCCTGATGAGATGAAATTACATAGAAAAGCGTCGTGGTTGTGCAGTGTTTTCAGGTGGGCAACACCCAATTTTCACCAATTGAGAGTTGTTCAACCGCACGAAGGTCAGGCGGTAGAGGCAGATGGAGGTCGTAATGCGCAGACTGTTGGTTACAGCGATCAATCGACTGGCAGTAGAATACACACACCCACACAAGGCGGCAGTGTGTGTTAATCAGCCTGCCTTAAGCGACGATGCAGGTGGAGCGCTGATTAGCGTCTCTAGAGCTTCTCGGTTGATGAGCGGAGAAAAAAGGCTTTAACTTCATTATGCTCCAACTTGCAGGGATGGTTGCCACGTAGTATGGGTGCCCTCAGCTTCTTCTTCAGAATGAGACCAAAATCTTTTCCAATAAAGCGGTTTAATGTAGCTACACAAGTGGAATTCGGTAAAGAATATGCCGAAAACTGGGAAATGGAGCAAGAGTATAATCCACACAGGTTAGATCCAAGAGTTGGGAAGCACTGATTAGAGCTCGTTTAACTGGTTCGAACGAGGGCACGCACAATAATGTGTGGGGAAAATTAAAGGATCCACAGAGGGCAAAGTGAAAGCCGAGTTAAAGTGCTGCCGCACGGCAGGTTTGCGCAACGTGTTTGTATATATAACGAAGACTATAGGCTCAACTATTTAGCAGCTGCGGCGTACGATGTCCATTCAACATCGGGTATATTAAAGTCCCCACCAACTACTTTATAGTTGACAGGTAGTTCTGCTAAGTAGCAAAACAAGTGCTCCAGGTTTTCTAGGTCATCCGTACTGGGATTCGGCTGGGAGCAAATACAACCCAAAATTACCTAATTTCTTTTTGTTGGGACACTTACAACTAGGATGTCAATGTTGCTTATAAGTGACGCTTGGTATTTGTCGGATACATATCTAATGCAACCAGCACCGGGTACTGAGCATCGGTAAGCAAGAAAACTGTTGTAACGGTCAATATAAATAAATAAATAAAGCTTTTATTCTCCTCAAGGCGGCGCACGCCTTTAGCAGCATGATCATTTGGACATAACAATGCGTGATCAAGAATGTTCAACTTTCGATATGTTTGACATGGCAGTGTATGTTTGTGTAGCAGGGTATGTACGCTTGTAACTACACAGCTACATACGCAGTAGCTGTGTAGTTTGTGCTTGTAATTGTGCTGATCAATTCTAGAATGTTTAACATCTTCAGCAATGTGCTAATAGAAGCTTGGTGTCCGTGAGTTGCAAAGCATTATCCGGATATCCACGGGGCAGTGACTTTATTTTGTGGCGAGTCACGACCGCCACGTCACAGTGTCTTTAACCAGATATTTGCGGCTTTTTATGGGGAGAACGCTTGCCTGACGAAAACCCAGAACGTCCTGGAACACTGCCGCCAAACTATTTGCTGGAACGGGTTAAACCCGAAGTACCCAGCTGGCACCACGAGGAGGTTGTTCGGTTAGCCAGCGCGATTGATGAGTATCGTCAGGAAAACATGTCTCTGTCACCCAAATGAACTCTGGTTCATAGATTGATGCCATGGCACGAAGCGTGTGTATTTTAGTCCAAAGCGAAAGGGCATTGAAGAGAAGTGAGTTGATGAAGTGGGTGTGAGTAGGTAGATGCATCCACAGCTTAAGTACGTTGAACTGGATTTTTTTGCGATGAAGAACTATGACTTGAGTGTCAAGGACTGGGGTGGCTGGGTGGAAGACAAGAAGTGGTTGATAAGGTGGGGCAGATGATGGGATTATCTGATATCGTTAACGTAGGTGATTTCAGGAATTCAAACTGGTTGTCTTTAGAGTATGAGCTCAACAACTGTCAGCAGGCGCCAACAAGAGGATGATGGATTTAGAAATGCATGAGTTGGTGTAAAGGTAGCCACGACGGGCAAACATCATTCGATTGTACGTGAAAGTTCAAGTTTTCTCCAATCGCTTTGCGATATTTCCTACAAAATTGAGGATAAATGTAGGTGAATGTAGGTGAGAATGCACGGTTCGCACTGCCATTGTGACATTGTCAAGATCTGATCACAGCGTTGTCACTGTACGCTCATTCGAACCGGACTTATCAGGCCTACACAGTGATGCATCATACGTGGAAGTATCTTCTGCGATCAAAGTCCCTGTCATCACTAACTATTTTCACTGTCATCCGTGATTAAGTGCAAGCGCATAACTCAATCACATCGAGCCGATTGCCTTTCCGTGTGACACCATTCAATACAGAATTCTCGAGGCAGTCCGAAAAACCTAAACTTATTCCCATCGGGTGTTTCTCAAGGCATCTGGGAAGGAATTTGTGCTCTCTCCAACTGTGTTCAGCGTTGTGTTTAGATTCATTTACTAGGTCCCAAACCAGTCGGGCCTAATATCGATCGAGCCACTGACGAACATTGCAGCCTGTGCTTACAAGGGATCAGTGCTGACAACGGACGCGCCACTGACTCAGGATTATCATGGACGCGGGAAGCTGCCTAACTGACCAGGCGACAAACACGTGAGCTTAAAACTTCACGCCCTCGCCGAACATGTCTGACGTTAAAAGCAAGTGTGAGTTGTGTGTTAAATTGGTGAAGATTGGGCTAGTGTGTAGCAGTTGATTGAAAACCTATCACACAAAATGCTTTGGGTCGGAGTCCATAGAAACGAGACAGTACAATAACACGACAGAGGCGTTTTGGTTCTGCCCAGGATGCAGTGCTTTCCCAGTTGTTATCTGTCTAAGCGTGCTACTGAAGAAGTGTGAAAGACTCACAGAAGCAGTCGAGCAACTGGTGTACGCCAGGGTTACACCTATGAGAGGAAACGAACTTGCATTTGTACGTGAAAATAACATTCCGAATTCCCCATTCAGGTCAAAGAAGGTAGCCACGTATCCCAGCATTACCCCAAGGACTAAAACAGTACCAGCTCGCTTCTCTCTCTCTCTCATAAGTAAAAACATTGTCTGCACCGTGCCTCTTTCAACTTCCGTACAGTGCGGTACACCTAGTAGCTTGTCCGTTATACAGGAGTCCCTAAGCTGCAGTCAACCAGCCATAGTGAAAAACCGGGTAACACACACATCGGGTGCCGCCAAGCAACCACCGAAAATAGCACCGGTAACTTTGGTGGCCGGACTAGAGAAAAGTAGAATGTCGCAGCAAGGATGGCCCCCATCAGTGCCGATCACAAATTCACCAAAAGCACTGGAACCTAAGGCTCCAAAACCAGTAGCCACCAGGACCTACCATGGTGCCTCAAACCTAGTGTGCACTAATCTCCCCGAATCCAAGTCCAATACAGTTAATGGTAGGTTGACAGTGGATCAAACTCAATGGAGTTCCATCTGTACGGCAATCGGTGTCCATGCTGATCCCACTACATTAAAACGCATCTCAAATCACCCAAACACATTGCACTACGGTGAACCCCGGTTATTTCTGGTAACACTGAACTCGCGGGATGAGGCAGAGGCCGTTCTGCTGTCCGCGAATGGACTCCGCAACGCCTCAAGTGAAGTGTGCATACTACTTGGAATCCAGTGGAAAGAACTTGCAGCGGATCCAACTAACAGAGAGAGGAACAGAAAGTGTAAATTTATGAAAACTGATTGCTCCCAGTGTTTTTGAGCTTACTGGTTCCTCTGCCGACGATGCGCAGGTACACGACCGGGAGCAAGGACACTACATCCATGAGGCTCTTTCTCTCGAACATGTCGTGGCCACCTAGTTGAACAAGGAATCCTCACTCCACAGTCTGTTTGGGACAAAGCCAAAAGAGGCTGTTGTCTGAATTAAGTGGGTGACCCCGTACATAAGATGGCAAGCTGTGCTGGGATGAGACAAACAAAGTGTGTTCGACAGAGTACCACAAAAGGCACTGTTGTTTGTAGCATTGGAAGCCCTCTACTAAACTCTCTCTACTCATACCTAAACGATCGAGCCCAAGGAGTGACATAGTGGGCCGGAAATACTCCATTCCAAAGCGAATAACTAGCGACATGATCCAGTGCATTTTGCTTGAAGCGTTAATTCCCATGATCTACATAACAAACAAATGGAAACCGCATCAAATACGACACTCGTTTCTGATTGCAGATGACTGGTCTACTCATGTCTGACGGACAAATTACAACTATGTCTGAGAAGTATACATGAACGCCTGTTAATGAAATTCTCAGTAAATATTCTCAGCTACCTGGGTAAAGATGCCACATTCCGGAACACTCTATCACTCTTTCCAAAAACGTGATCCCAACCTGTGATACGCCGGTATTGCATCCTGGCTTTTCGCTGTCGCGCAGCCACCACCGGCTGCACTGCGAGGATCGCCAGGTCCCTAGGCAGGCTAGAATCGCGCGTTCAGATTACAAGGCAGGCTTGTGATCTTTAAGGCTACGGGCCGGCCGTGCGTTGTACTTAAATGCTACCTTTATTTACACTAGAGGTTAGCAGAACTTATGCAAACTCATGGATAATATGCGGAAAAAGGCCTTGGTTTGTCATTGCCGCCATGCTTCTAGTGTCTACCTTTGACCTTTTATCAGTGTGGCTCATTCAATCATAAGTATTTGTTTGTGAGAGCGGTATCTTATTAAGACATTTTCTAAAGGTAATTATGCTGAGTTTGCGACAACTGTTGGTCAGGAGTCTTCAAAACTAAGAAGCAAACATGAAGTTCATGACAACACTTGACAGAAATAGTTGATCGTTTACTCATCTACGAACTTACGATAAACTCTTTGTACCATTTCCGTATCTGTGCCTCAGTAAAGTGCGTTTTTGCGGCAAGCGTTTTGACCTCCTGTTTCGATAATCCCTTCCTTGAGTGCGATGCTCCCATTTACACTTACGACATCGAGTAAACAGGAATTGGACAACAAACAAGACGTTGGATGAACCACAGAATCCACGGAATCCGGTGCCGGTGTGAAGGCGTAGCAAAGTTCACCACAGCGGTCCAACCAGTTGACTGCAGTGTGGCCAAAAGGACAAGCGGCGTGGACGAGAAATATAACCACCAAGCCGTTTAGCCTCATCCAATCAGCTTTGGGAATAAACGTTGTGTAAATTCATACACTGCCGTACGTGTGTGTGCGCGTGCTGCTTTGGTTCGCCCTCAGAGGCAAAGGACCGCCACCGTTTCGATCAGTTTACAGTGCCGGCTGCACAGCATCCTAAACTTTGTGACGACGGGCGATGGCGTTCGAGAGTGCACAACGTGTCCCAAACGATCGAACAGATTAAGCGTATAGCCTTGGTACTCCGTTGCAACTGAAGCATGATTTCTGGGGTGCTGTAGCTAGGACATCGCAGCTCCAGGTATCTAGTGCGATATTCTACATCGTTTAATTTCTTGACCAAGAAGTGCAGAAAGTGAGGTGATTGTGTATGCTCCGCTTCGGATTCTGTCTCCACCTATAAAATGGAGTAGGTATATTCAATTAAAGGTGGAGACACAAACAGATAATTCAATTGGCAATTGTATCTTTCAGTGATGCAATTAAGGACGATCCCGTAGTGTATTGTCTCTGGCTTAGCTTCCGAATCTAATAGTTTTGACAACGGTTTATAATAAGTTAAGTCAAAAGAGACTTTTTGAACCCAACCAGCGTTTTACACTAGCGCTGCGGATTTAATGCGACCTAACATTGGTAGGAAATGCAATCAAAGCGTAAAAAGAAGAATATATGAATACATATCACCCAGGTAAAAAGGTTCACACAGGTTGCTGATAAGTTTCTTGCAGCCCACAAGAAACTGGATAAATACGCTAAGGTAAGGTTAAGATACCATGTGCAAGAAAGAAACTGAATTTAGACAGTATAGATGAACATAAATAAATAAATAAATAGATTGTATGTTCTTCGACGATGCGAGATGCTGTTCTTTAGAAGGAACAGAGCAAATAAAGGTACAAATTTTACATGACGTTTCATTAATACATTTTCAGGGATAAACATGGGCGCAATTGCAAATTAGGTAACACAGAATAATCAGAATCGTTCTGCTATTTATTTCTTGCCATTGAATCAGGATTCTTCACAATCACATGACAGATATTTGGACCGAGAGAGAAAAAATGTAATGGAAGGGGCTGATGTCCGAAATGTTATGTGTATGTGTTTCGGAAATTTATTCAGGCACCATGGATACGGTTTCCGAATGCGTTATCTAGGGACTGTGATGTCCCAAACATATTAATCACGTTTCGAACACTTACCTTCTTGCTAATCGCAAGCTTAAAATTGCAAAGTGTATAGCATGTTCTGATATCACTTGGAAGTTTGTTCCAAATCTTTGAGTATTGGGTTAGAAGGAAACGTTCTCTGATTCTCGTAGTAAATTTTGTAATCATGACCTTTACCTCTTTGTTACGTATTGGATATCTGCTGTTTAAAGATATGTGAACACCGTTTACAACACTGTGAATTTGACAATTTACGATTCTGTAAAGAAAACATAGGTTCAGCATCATTATCCGAAGCCAAAATGGGTCAAATCAAAGTTTATCACATCGCTCTTGTATGTCAACTTTAAGAAATATCCACATAGCTTTTTCGTGAAGCTTCTTTGGACGCTCTCAAGAGCGTGCTGGTCAGATTTCCGCAGATTAGACTGTACCATTGAACAGTATTCCATACACGGCAATACATATGTTTTGTAGCGCGATATGCGAGATTCTGTGAGGTAAAAATGATGACAAATTTAAGCGATGGTCTTCATGGCTTTCGAAACTTGAAAGTCACAATGTTCAGAAAAGTTAAACGTGACTGCGTATCGCACGCCCAAGTCGCGAACTGCCCTGCATTGTGAGATATATGCGCCTTGTAGTGATAAACTGTCTGGCAGTACTTGGCATTTATACGACAAAACATTACACTTGTCCACAGCAAATGACATCTGCCACAGTTGGCACCGGGAGTCAGGGGCAGATAGGTCATCCCGAATGAGACCTAAGGCTTCCTGAGTATTTGCACGTGGTTGTGAGTAGACAACTTCGATGTCATCAGCAAGGATAAATGCATTACCGTTTCTTATTCTCTGGAATATCTCGTTAATATAAATTAGAAAAAGAAGGGGACATGAGAGAGCCTCTGTCGACTGATCGTGTAGGAGGTGAAAGCATGGTTCACAACTTTTGATGGAAACTTATCACATGCATTAAAAGACTTAATAAAGATGAGGCCAATCAGAGACTCTCTAGGCACTCCAATACACCCGAAAATGAGCTTAGTGAAGTGCACAATTAATGTGAGGTCTTTTTGTAGAGCAGAAAATATGATAGGTGAGGAACATCCCAAATGGGGCAGAATATAGGCGGTCACGAATTTGTAACTTAAAGAGAAGGGTACTGAACACATTTTGAGTCTCAGGGAATAGAATGATAAGTTCCGCACTTCGTTAACCTTGCGTCAAAGTGTGTTGACCAAGATAGATTATAAGGTAAATATGCACCGTGATGTTTAACGATGGATGAACTGGGTATGTCGTGGTCGCGTACGACCATAGGATGAGAAGTGTTTACCAATAACAAACTTTTGTTCCTGGGGAGAAAACAAACTGTTACCTCGCGGCACTTAGCAGCTTTGAGAATAATGGATCGGGACGATAACCATTGGTATAAATAAATAAAGAATAAATAAATAAATCCGTCTATTTACCGACGAGCGATATACGACCCTATAAGTAGAAGCGTTCACTTGTACAGAGAATAGGTTTCATAACAGTAAAATAAACATAAATTATAGAATTTCGGACCATTAATTTTCCATCGGGTCCTAAACCCGATTATCTAATATGTAAAATGTTCCAATCTTTGTGTAAACATTTTCTATTTTGTGTGGCTCAGGAGTAGATAAGTATAGGAAAGGGATAATAGGTTGCATGGACACAAGACTTAGTATTTGGGTAATGATAGGGAGTGGGCAAGCTGATTTTAACCAATTAACTGCTGTTATCTACTTTAGACCAGGTTCCGTCAATGTTTATAGACATTCACGTGAGCCAAAGATCTTCAACACATTTGCTATAGTGAGATAAGTTTATAGCGGATTTCGAAATGTAACATGGCTTGCACTCATACATACCCACAGATCAGTGTATCACACTAAGAAAAAAATTCGATTGATTTTTATGACTTTCAAGCTTTGTGCGTAGCAAGTAGCAGCCATTACTTGTGGGGTAGACTGCAATCTTCCGTAGTTCAAGTGCGGTGCTGTTTACGTAAATTCCTTGATTAACAATGTTATAGTGGAGAAGGAGGTTGTTCTTTAAGCGTCTTGGTCAAAGAGGATCCATTTGGGATTGTCAGCAGCGATCATAATAACTCAAGTTTGCGCAACATCCCAAGACCAGCTTGGCAAATGATCGTTGCACATTTTCCGGAGCTGTTCTGTGTTTTTTCTTAATTGGCTGTGAACGACGGTACCGTATTCCAGAGTCGGTGGTACTATTAGTTTAACTGACTCAAGTCGTGTTTCATGCAGGAAGAAGTTTTGGTGATATGTCCGTATAGCTCGGTCGCTTTTGCAACCTGCTAAAGCACACGTTCGGAGAAATTGAAAGAGTTGAAGTATCTAATTCTTAAGTCCCGAACTGAATCAGACGTTGGGATCACGTTTCCGACAAGAGTGATAGAGCCATCTGAGATGCGACATCTGTACCCAAGTATTTGAGATTTCACTGCGGAGAAGTTCATTAATAAACGTTCATTCGTTATAATTAGTGCGGATAGGTCTTCACAGATATTTCCCAGGCACATTCCTAGTTGGTCTGGATGAAATGAGTAGACCAGTTTGATGTGGTCTACAAACGGAAATGGGACTCCGTATTTGATCGGGTCACCTATGTTGTTTACGTAGATTAGGAAAAGTAGTGGTCCCAGCACACTTCCCTGGAAGACGTCGCTGGTTGTTCGTTTTGGCGTGGAGTATTACTGACCGATTCTAACTACCTTGGTTCGACCGCTTAGGTATGAGTAGAACCAGCTTAGCAGTGTTTCCAATGCCATATAACCATAGAACGGACAGCACTGGCTTGTGCTGCATGCGGTCTGACGTCTTTTGCATATCCAACAGAAGTATAATGATTACCATACCTCTGTCAATCATACTCGCGACATGGTCAAAGAATCATAGCCGGCAGGTAACGCAGGAGCGTTTAGAGAGAAAGCCATGTTGGTGAAGCTCATTAATTATACCTTTCAGAACCGTTGATGATTCAGCAGTTGGGACAAAATCATCCAATTTTCGTTTCTTTATTTTGACAGATTTGTGGCGAACTCTCTGCAACAGAAACGGGGTTGATGTTCAGTTGATAAAAGGTGAATTTATGTGTGATGAGCCAGAAGAAGTTCCTCGCAAGAAAATAACGCAATTATGTTTACGGTCAGTGTGATACTTGAACAGGGTGTGTGACTTTCCCTCAACACAGATAAGCTCCACAAACGCAGTGCCACTAAGTGTACGAAAGATATTGTGCATAAGGATTGGTGCAAAGATGAGCTTGAAATGGAATGTCATTATGGAATAAGCTGCCAAAAGAGATTAGATGTATTGAACATTCTTGCATGTGCAAGAAAATAATGAAGGTTTATCTGTCAACGGACAGAGTGAAATGGACCTTAAAAATTCAACTTGATGATGAAAAGCTGTATGAAAAAGAGCCGGATCATGTATGATACTGGAAAACATGGACCCGAATGCACTAGAGAAAACATGATCATCTAGGGTGAGCTGTTACATACCGCTTCTTATGCTATTCCTTAATACAACCTTTTATGCGGTTTTACTCCATTCAACCTTAATTCATACCAACTGTCTACTGTTTAACACAGAGAGCAAAAGTATTTACTAGTATAGCATCAGGAACTATTTTCGTAATATTCCCCACCAATTGATCAATTCGTAATATTGTTCTGCGATTCCCTTCGTAACATTTGTTCTGCAATGCTAAGCATTTCCCTTTCTTTTCTGGAGTTAACAGTCCAGAAACATATACTTGAATTCAGCGATGGCAATAACTGATTCCCTATGCGACTTTTGCCTATGGACATCATCATCATCATCATCATACACGTTAGCTAGAGGTGGGGAACACCTCAGCTACTGTGCCGCAATACAAAGAAAAAAATGAGAGAGAAAAAGAACACAACTGGTGAAAGCTGGCTGAGCTACCGGTAACGGATGGGCATCGTTCCGGTAAGCT